CGGGCCGGTCCCCCGGGACTGCTCCCACGGCTGCGTGGTACCCTTCCGGCGCAGCACAGCCCTGCGCAGGGAGAGCAAAGCACGCGTGGGCACACAAGTCTGCTTCCCGGCAGCGGTGGGCAGGTCCCGCAGCCCCCTGCTAGCTCAAATCCGCTAGGCTTTAGGTACCTCCTGGAGCACAGAATCACAGTCAATTAGGCTGTAAAAGACCTCTGAGATCATCGAGCCCAACCTTTGACTAAACACCACCATGTCAACCAGACTATGGCACTAAGTGCCACATCCAGCCTCTCCTTAAACACCTCCAGAGACAGTGACTCCACCACCTCCCTGGGCAGCCCATTCCAATGCTTGACAACCCTTTCTGTGAAGAAATTCTTCCTGATGTCCAACCTAAGCATGCTCAGACGGGGAGGCACTCGCCAGGTGGAGCGCTTACCCCTGCCTTTAAAGGCTTTCCTTTCTTCCCTGCTCCGGGATGTAGTAAGAGGTCAGATGGAACTGACAAACTGTGACAAACTACTTTGCCACAGGCACTTGCACCACACAAAAGTTAAGCACCAAACACAGGAGAGCCCAGCGCGTATCCGAGCGACGGCACAAACACTGGCACAGCACCGACTACAAACCACGCTGCTCAAGCACAGCAGCCACTCACCCTGCACTGTGCAGTTCCCCTGCTCACCTGGACCTCCTCAGAGAAGGCCAATGCATGCCACCAGTGTTACCTGCCTACTCTAAGCAGGTTCTCATGCTCACACTCCCAGGTACTACTCAAGATGCTGCTGCCCTGCCGATAAGCTGAATTAACTTCATAAGCAGTTCTGTTCTTGCCTCTAATATGTCAAACAAATAGCACACCACCATGCTTAACCTCTACTGCCCCACAGTCATGTCTGGGTATGAAACATGATAGAAGAGCACTGGCAGAGATCCCCAAAATGGCATCAAGTTTGGGCACCTCAAACGCCGAATAGATGATTTATTACCTTACCGAAATTACCTTTACTGCCTTATGTAAAAAGCTCCCAAGCAGCCCAGAGCCAATGCTTCCTTCTGGTCCATGCTGTCTTGGTATTTATGGAGCTCCTGTGGTGAGCCCAGGTCTGCTAAACTAGCAGTGTCTTTCTTTTTGGTTGAGCCTCAGGCATGTGGCCTATATGTAGGCACAGTACAATTTGCAAACCTCTCTGTTTTCCAACACCTGTTGTTACTCATCCAGCAATATCCTCACAGTGACCTCTTTCCAGCCATGTAAGACCCTGCACGAGACCAGTGTGCAGAGCAGGGAATACCTCTGCAGAAATAGTGATGGCAGCTCTGACTGCCTCACACAACAGCCAGCAAAGGGTGCACAAGGGGCTGAGAAACCACCTGGCTTGAGCTGTTACTTTGGTTGCTGTCTTGGCCACTTGAACTACTTGAGTGTCTTTCTTTTCTCCCATTATTCTTCATGTGATCAGCTATATGTACATGGGAAAAGAGAGATTTCAAATTAAAATGCTATCAAAGAACCCATGCCCAAAGAAACAACTAAACTAGGGCACAACTCTATGAAGTTTTGTTTTTTGGGTTGAGAAGCTGTAATGATATCCCAGTGTCCTAGTTTCATCTGTTAAAAAGATATATCTAAATGTTAGCTCTATGAAGCTAACATTTCAGGAGTTGTCATCCACCTGTAGTGCAGGTAGCACCTGCTGTATACGCTAAAGACCACAGTCAAGCTTGTGCAGACAAGCTGAAGCTTCTGCAGTGACTGATGTGTGCTTGATTTTCTAAGGTGCACTATAGCACCTTAACGATTTGGGCTGGTTCTGTATGTGTGTGTGTGAACAAAATGCTTTCACTTGTAGTTTATGGTAAATGTTGGTCGTCAGATTTGTTAGCAGGAGAGAATACATCAAACATTAAACTTCTCTTCCCTACAGATGACACTAAGCTGACATGACATGGTCTAGTGGCCCAGAGACTGAAGGGAAAAAGCATACTTTGAAAGTGTTTTGATGCTGTCTCTCTCTTTCACTGCACAGGTAAGTTCCCCATTTTTGTAAGTTGCAAAGTGCAGAGAAAATAAAACCAATATCTGCTTTGCAGAATATTTTTGAAGCTTTCTTTTTAGCTAAAATGTGCATTTTTGCAATGTTATTGCATAATGTATAAGATGCCACACTCTGTGTCCGGGTAACAACAATTAACTTGCATTTGTGTGCCTTCTAGATGGTTCCGTTAGTTGACACTGCCACAGCAAAGGTATTGCCATTAGCTAGTTTAAGTGTCTTTAAGAAAATGCTGTCATTAAATCTTGCTGTTAGGAAGTATGAGTTTTTAGTCTGTGATTAATTAACACACATTCACAGACGGGCATTTAGGAAAACAGGTTTTATGTTGATACCTCGTAACAGTTTCAAATATGTTACAGGCTAATTTTGAAAATGGTGCATGATAATTTCTGAGCACAACTGCCTGTTCCTAAGGCAATGGAAGATTGAGTTCCAGTGGCTACCAGCTAGGTATTTTCCTCCTCCAGTAACATTTCTGCAACTAAAAAAGCATCATTCGGCTCTGACATCTGAGCCTACGGCCCTTTAAAGTTTGAACTGTCATTGCTAGTCAAGTAACATTAATTGTTAGGCCCAAGTGGGCTGCAAAAGGACTTCTTTTAAATATGAGCGTCAGAGATTAATCACATTGGGCAAAAGATACTTTGTCGCTAGTAAGAAAGCTTATCTAACCAATGTTTGCCTGATTTTCTAAATCCTCTGATGTTTTATGTTTTTCATTTCAAATCCTGTGGTGTGTAGCTTGGAGAAGAGACAACCGAGAGGGGATCTTATCCATGTCTACAAGTATCCAAAGGGAGGGTGTCAAGAGGATGGAGCCAAGTTCTTCTTGGTGGTGCCAAGCAATAGGATGAGAGGCAGTGGGCAGAAACTGATGCACGGGATGTTCCACCTGAATATAAGGAAGAACTTCATTACTGTGTGGGTGACTGTGCACTGGAACAGATTGTCCAGAGAGGTTGTGAAGTTTCAGTCTCTGGGGATTTTCAAAAGCTGTCTAAACACAATCTTAAATAATGTGCTCTAGGGGACCCTGCCTGAGCAGGGAGGTTGGACCCAGATGACCTGCTGTGGTCCCTTCCAACCTCACCCATTCTGTGATTCTGTGATTTTAGCTGCAGTTTAAGAGACAAACTATATTCAGTCAGATGCTGCCTATATTTTGACAACAGCCTTCCACCCCAAATTCTTCTTTAGTTTGGAATAAATGCCACATTTCTCTTTATTATTTTGAGGAAGAGGATGTTTGAGAGGCTAAGGATCTGTATTAATCTTGTTTAACCATTAATTTTTCCCACAATTACAACTGAATAATAAAGCAAATGTAAAATCTGTCAGTTCCTGGCAGAAAAAAGTCTGCATTGGTCAGATCCTAGTAGTACTGCTTTCTGGTAGCTTGGAGTAAATGGTGGCACTGAAAAGTTTGCATAGCAGCAGCACTCCTAGGAAACACATAATGTGGGTGACTTAGGTGCTACAGAGTTATTTTGAAGACATGAAATACTCGCTGGTGCTATTTGTGGTGACTTTTCAGTTGCATTAGAGATTAATTATTTGTATGAGGTTTGGATAAGGAGATGCCAAAAGGAAAAAAAATCCACATTATGAGGGAAATGAAATGAGGCTTCCCCCTGTTTGTTGCGCAGTTTTAATGATGTATGCAAAACTCTCTTCAAGTTTTCAGGGGAACTCTGAAATTCATAAATGGTACCTATAGGCATGTAATTACCCCATTTTCGCATATGAA